TCTTACCCACCATGCAGCTCCTGCTGAAGGGGAGGGAATCCGTTCCTGACTCAAAGAAATGGGATAGATGGCTATAATTTATACCTGGAGGAACCCTTCACCAGCATGATAGCGTCTCATCTTGAAGGGGCAGAGACCGGTTCACCCCATGGTCCATACCGAGGCTATGTGAGACCTCGCTGTTATCAGTTATCTCTGAAACCCCTCTAGATAGCAGAGATAACCAGAGAACATTGTCTTAATATAATAACACGAAATGTTATCAACATTTTTTAAAGAGTATTGGTAAGCCAGTGGAAGGCTTCAGTTATGTCGCCGAAAACTGGTGATAGCAAGAGAAACCCCCCAGAGAAATATTTTTTTTCATGAATAAAATAAACACGCAATGTTATCAACATAAGAAGTACCTAACTAACCTGAACCTTCAGCTATGTGACCGAAAACTTGGATGCTCAAGAACGAAGACCCTCGTCAGGAGAAATACTCTGTTAACCTACAACTAACCTAACTAACGCAATGTAACGTAACGTAACGTAACGTAACGTAACGTAACCTAACCTAACCTAACCTAACCTAACCTAACCTAACCTAACCTAACTTAACGTAACGTAACGTAACGTAACGTAACGTAACGTAACGTAACCTAACCTAACCTAACCTAACCTAACCTAACCTAACCTAAGCATTATCTTCGCGTCTACTGAAAAACACTCGAAGCGCGTAATTTAAAGGAATTTTAAGGATAAAGGTGAGCATCTACGAGCGTGTTGAAGTGCAGCTGCGGTTTTGTGAATAGTAATGCATGCATGTATATTGAAATTACCCTGGGAGTTATCACTTGACAGTCTCTCTCTCTCTCTCTCTCTCTCTCTCTCTCTTCTCTCTCTCTCTCTCTCTCTCTCTCTCTCTCTAACTACACAAGCCACGTTATTCTTCCCTCCTCTGATAAACATTTATTATTCCCAGTAATTATTCCAATGAAAAACAGAACGAGTAAAAGCAAAAAAAAAAATAAATAAATAAATAAAAATTGTGAAAATCAAGGCAACATCAACACCACAAAAAAAAACATCGTTTTTCACGCACCAAATTCCTTATAATAATTCTTCATGATAAAAATCAAAATATAATTCATCAGAGCCGAGGAGAAAATGTTACGGCGAGAAATATTCAGGTGGCGTCGGTCACTTAGCCTGACTGAAGCTCCATAAAGCAGAAATGGGATAATGTTAATAATCGTCCAGTTCTCTTGTTGCTTCATACGACAGAAGATTAAAACCAACACCGAGAATAATTAAAATAAAAATTTAAATTATTATTTTTTATTATTATTATTATTTTTAAATGATAATAATCAAATAAAATTAAAAAAAAATTTAAAAAATAATATTATTTATAATAATAATAAAAATATAATTATAATAATTAATAATTAAATTAAAATATTAAATATATAATAAATAATAACAATAATAAAAAATATTAATAAATAATAATATATAATAATATTATTATTTGTAGTATTATTATCAATGTGTATAATTATAATAAAATAAAAATAATAATAATTAATAATAATTATAATAAGAATAGTGGGGCAACGTGTCTCACCTGCCTGAAGCTGCATAATTAAGTCTGTCACACCTGAGATACGAACCGGTTGAGCTCCTGAGCAGGAATGATGTATCTTGCTAATGACCTGTTGCTGTGTAGACAGTGATGTAGGTTATGGGGGAGGGAGGGGGCCATGGGAGAGAGTGTGGGGGGGAGAGAAGAGGGGTTTAAAAAAGAGGGGTGATTTGTGCTCTCTCTCCTCTCTCTCTCTCTCTCTCTCTCTCTTCTCTCTCTCTCTTTCCTACTTACCTACCTGCTGTAACACCCTTTCTAACATAACCTGTGTGTGTGTTCTTGTTGCGTGTTGAGTCTGACTCACCGGAAATGTACACAAATTGTTAATTATGTACACGTGGAGGCAATTATGTACACAGGAATGAATATTAGTAAATTTAGTCACACAAACAGGAATATTCCCTCAAGCATGACCCACAAACAGGAATATTCCCTCAAGCATGACCCACAAACAGGAATATTCCCTCAAGCATGACCCACAAACAGGAATATTCCCTCAAGCATGACCCACAAACAGGAATATTCCCTCAAGCATGACCCACAAACAGGAATATTTCCTCAAGCATGACCCACAAACAGGAATATTTCCTCAAGCATGACCCACAAACAGGAATATTCCCTCGAGCGTGACCCACAAACAGGAATATACCCTCGAACATGACCCACAAACAGGAATATACCCTCGAGCATGACCCACAAACAGGAATATTCCCTCGAGCATGACTCACAAACAGGAATATACCCTCAAGCATGATCCACAAACGGGAATATTCCCTAAAACATAACCCACAAACAGAAATATTCCCTCGAGCACGACCCACACACAAGAATATTCCCACAAGCACGACACACCAATGAAGTATTCACGTTCTACGACTTTTAAATTCTGCATTTCTCTCTTCGCTTCATCGTCGACTACAGAAAACGTGCAACCTTTACGATCACCAGGAACAATATCGACTCAACAGTATATTCATGTATATTCTTCTGCCTGAGAGAGACACATCATTCATTGTGGCTTTGATACGAAGAATCAGTCAGATTGAAACAGCTACAGGTTTCCGGTCTCTGTTAGTGATTTAAAAAGAGATAAACACACTGACGACACAGTAGCCAGCGTAGGAGTTTATATCACACCCTAAAGGGAAGAATGTGATAGGAAGAATGCAAATAAAAACGAAACCATGGCAACCACAACAACAGAGACGTACAGAGCCGCTGTATGAAGTATAGAGAAGCCAAGATAATGATACGAGAAACTGGCTTTTTACTAAATCACTGACATAGGCCGGAAAACCTGTAGCTATTTCCATTTGACTGCTTCGTATCAAAATTACGATGAATGATGTGTTCGTCACAGGTGTTTCAAGGCTGCCATGATAGCAGTCGTCAGTACCATTCCACAAAAAATCAGGTTGTCAAACCATTTTCAAAGTCTTGGCTAACGGGTGAAAACCAAGCCTGGATACTGCAGTTAGATGACACTAGCCAGCAAGGTCACTCCTGCCGCCTCTGTTGGGCGTGTTAATAGCGCACAGTGTGCAGTTTATGGCCTTTCGTTAAGAACTTTATCGATTCTCATATGGGTAAGAAGATCATAGATATAGTGGAGAGACATGAGGTGAGGTACAGAGATGGGCGGGTGATACCACCTGTAGTAACGCCACTAAGGCAAGTGTAAGAGGGTCGAAGTTGAAGCAAAATTAGGTGGGTCAGTAGGGCGACTTCAGTACTTTTCCAATAATTTTATGTAATATTAGTATCATAGCTGGCGAGAATGAGTTTAGCCAGTGCTTCAGAAATGAGGAATGAATCTTATTGTATAATGGTGTTCGTCGTGGCATGCAGAGCAGACTCCAAGCACAGCCGGCACCGTCTGTCTGCTTCCTTGATAACCAGTTTGGTACTGGAAAAGTTTTCCTAAAGTTCTCTGTGTTGAGATGAGTAGTACAGGTGTTAGTCATGTCATCTCTCTGGCAGGTGTTTACATTCGCTGATCCTCGTGTTCAGCTCCATAGCAGTTTCGCCATTGAAAAACCATGTTAAAGCCTCCACAGGGTAGTCAAGTAGATGCAGGTAGTGTTGTTTCTGACTGCTGCTTTCACACACCGTGCCCCTGCCACAGAGCTGGAAACTGTACTTCACTTGTACAAACTCTGACACTTCTTCGGGAGCCGCTGCCGGGTCACTACATGGAGAAGATCTGTGCCAGGACTCGTCCTGGCAAACCTACATTAACCTACTGCTTATTTTTTAACTAAGCCCTTTATTGTGTTAAAGGCTGTGCTGGCAACCTTGATGTTGACTTTGGTTAAGCATTTTGAGAGACTATTGCTTGTGTTATTAACATTTGGAACCAAATATCTGCAGAGGTTGGAATTTGTCAGGTCCTGGTCATCCTTGCTCTTCTCTTCCAGTCTGTGATTAAGCGTTGAAGATAGCAAAGATCAAGGAAGGTTTTTATTAATACAGCCGCATTCTTCTTGTAGGAATGTGGGTGTTGAACAAGTTTTGTGTGCCCTAAGGAAGAAACCAATTATAGTTCCAGGCTTTGTTCTGTTGTCGTGAGGAGACAGGCAACACAGCAAATCATTGCTTTTGTTAGTGGATCTGCCGGGTACGTTAGCATGGGTTTACCTGGAGTTTACCTGGAGAGAGTCAGTAACTCTTCTGCAGTGCTCCTCTGTTTTTGTCTTCTTACATTCATGCATATTTTATTACGACCATTTTTTTATGCCTGCTTCTTTTCACCTTACTCTCTTTACTATAGGTATTGCTTGTTTTAGTTGCCTCTGCATTAAGACTAGAGAAACCGCTCGTGGCAATACGCGTCCTCAATAAATGTCTTGAATTGTGATTAAGAGACCTTCTCCACATGTCAGTATCACGAGACCTGATCTCCACACCATGCTAAAGGTATTTCGATTTGAGGGGTCAGCCTTCCTCGGTGATGATACAAAGCCCGCTCGCAAATTATTATTATTATTAGTAGTAGTAGTAGTAGTAGTAGTAGTAGTATTAGTAGTAGTAGTGTAGTAGTATTAGTATTAGTATTAGTAGTAGTAGTAGCAGTAGTTGTATTAGTAGTAGTAGTAGTAGTAGTAGTAGCATTAGTAGTAGTAGTAGCAGTAGTAGTAGTAGTACTAGTAGTAGTAGTGTAGTAGTAGTGTTAGTAGTAGTAAGTAGTAGTAGTAGTAGTAGTAGTAGTAGTAGTACTAGTAGTGATAATATAGGTAATAGTTCTTTATTATAATCATTATCGTCTTTATTATTATTGCTAAGGTCTGAAGCAATAATGAGTGTCTGGCAGAGGAGTCAAAAATACCAAGAAGTTGAGTGTGGCAGCAGCAGCGTGTCTCAAGTCATCGTTGCCAGCTAGTGTCTTGTGGCCAACAACAGCTAGGTAGAACTGCCGGCCCTGGTCAGCCCTACAGACTTCTCATCCACCAGTGTTTACCAAGCATTTGTGTGGTGGTTACTGCGCTCTGTTTCCTTGGCAAATACGTTATTTCCCGGGCATCTAGGATACCATGGTACATGGAAAATAAGAATTTTAAGACGCAGCGCTTCTTCGTTCTACGAATATTGAAGATTCATTTAGTTTTTTAATTTACTTGTAAGTCGACGCAATTTTCTTATTGTATAAACAATTAAGAGCATTCATGGATTTACATTTAATTAACAAGAAAGCAAAGCGTGCTAAAGGGTTAGTTTATTTCGAAATGGCTGTGCCATGTACTCTCGTAGTTGTTGAAGCAGTGAGTCGAGTCGTCTGCTCACAGTGAGTCGAGTCGTCTGCTCACAGTGAGTGGAGTCGTCTGCTCATAGAGATGAGCTTATGTATTATACGAGGCATTCGAGTTTATTTGTAGCATTCGGTTAATGGATATGTGAAGCTTAAGTTAGGGCAGCTAGCTGGTTAATTTAATTTCTTCTGATTAATAAAGGAAGACTTAAAGTAGCCTGTAGACTACACGAGGGTCATTAAGGCTGCATGTAGACTACACGAGGGTCATTAAGGCTGCATGTAGACTACACGAGGGTCATTAAGGCTGCATGTAGACTACACGAGGGTCATTAAGGCTGCATGTAGACTACACGAGGGTCATTAAGGCTGCATGTAGACTACACGAGGGTCATTAAGGCTGCATGTAGAATACACGAGGGTCATTAAGGCTGCATGTAGAATACACGAGGGTCATTAAGGCAGCATGTAGACTACACGAGGGTCATTAAGGCTGCATGTAGACTACACGAGGTCATTAAGGCTGCATGTAGACTACACGAGGGTCATTTAGGCTGCATGTAGACTACACGAGGGTTACATTAAAGGCTGCTGATAGACTACACGAGGGTCATTAAGGCTGCATGTAGAATACACGAGGGTCATTAAGGCTGCATGTAGAC